TCTGTGATAAAAATTTAAGCAGGAAAAGTTCTTAGTATTTGTTAAACAAAGCTCTGAATCCTTCAAAAAATGTCTGGAGTCTTCTCTCTGAGAATACGAGCCCATGTTCACTGAGTACTGCGAGGAGATGGGAGAGTCCCACACATGCACATGTGTCAACTTGTTTCTCACTCACAGGTCATTTTATGATTACTCCTACTTACGTATGGGGAAACCAAGACACAAAAAGAGGAGTTCATTGGCAAAATGAACACAGCTAAAAGGCGGTAGGACTCTGCCACCTGCTGTGTAAAATGAGAGATTTCAGGCTGGCTGGGGTCCCCTTCCACTTGGGCAGCTGAGCAGCTCAGAGAGAAACGTGGGGCTCCCTGCGGCCGTTGTCATGTGGTTGATGTGTTTATAGTCTTCCTTCACTTCATTTTCTCAATTTTATTTACATTTTACTGTTTCCTGGTCTTTTTTCCTAGTGTCAGCTAACTCAGGCTTTATAAAATAAAGAAGAGTGAAAACACGCACACACCAATATATGTACTTAAATGTTTCTAGGATGAATACTTTTTAAACAAACATTAAACACAGATATGTCTATTTCCACTGTCTGAGCAATGAAGTCGTGAATGTTTTCCTCATGACTCTTCACGGGGTTTTGCCCTTACATGCTGTACACTCAGGACTTGGCCCCATGAAATGGACACAGCGAACACAGATGCGGGATGGTGATGTTTTCATGGCAGGACATCCTTCCTCTGTGGCACCTGTGGAGTGAACTAGCTTACGCGTGACATGGAGTCCACAACCTTCCAGGCCTGCCTTTGAGATGCCTGTCCTGGCCGAGAGGAACCACAGTCAGTCGCCGGGGCAGTAGTGCCCTCTTTTGGCCACTCCTCTCCTTCCTTAGTATAATTTAGGAAGACCTAAGACTTCACTCACCTCAACTGAATTGCCTGCTTTTAGTTTAGCCCGACCATTAGTTTGGCTCCCACTCCTCCCTCCAGTGGGAGGAGAGGTGGAGACTGACTCCTGCTTTTCTTCCTGCCTGGTTTCTACGGAGGAGGACAGTGTGTGCACTGCCCGTGGGGGTGTGGGTCAGAAAACACTTAGCAGCAACTGGTCTACCGCAAAATGACCTGCTTCCCCAAAGCTCAGACAACACCCAGTTCTCTAGGTTGTCGTGTCTTGAAGTGTTTTCTTCCTCCTTTTGTAACTAGGCAAAACAGTCTTAAGCATAACCACAAAGCTGTCACCAAAAAAAAAAAAAAAAAAAATCACAGAAGATATTTGCAAGTGTGCTCTCACGAGTTATTTACTTAGATTGAAAACAATCCTTTGGTGGGATTTTTACCAGGAGATGAAGGGCAAATAAAATTTCAAAGTGGATTGCTAAGAAAATGACCGGCTCTGGCCTTCACAGATACGAGGAGGAAGGCTGTGCTGGTTTAGTTGTCTGTTTGCGGTTTTGAGCACTCAATGTGTGAACCATAGTGATGGCATCTGTGCCAGAGTCAGCACCTGGCACAAACTTTTCTCTTCAATGCGTCAATCAGTGTTCACTCGGGGACTCTCTTCTCAGCTGAAATACAACACTATTGCCTTTTGACGCCACAGAGATCTTAGGTATGAGTGTCCTGCAGAGGTGGTTGGCTAAGGATGATGGCTTTCTGCCCTTTTCTCACATTCCTCGCTCATTCTTCTGATGCGTGGATGAAACGGCTGCCAAGAACCTAGAGATGACCATCGCACGATCACGGATGCCTAGTGCTCACGGGACATCAAGAATGGTTCCTATTGTACTTACGGGATTTACTCTCCTGTCAAGGAAAGACCTTTTCCTAAAGTGGGAGGGAACTGCTGCTCTCATTTAGAGTCACTTTGTACATTACAATTTAAAAAGAAATTACATATATGCCTCCAAGGTTATACAGTCAAGACTAATAGCCAAGATCATTTTAGTTTCTGTTCCTTCAGCACTCTGCGCCTTTAGAGTAGAGTTATGCGCGCTGCAGGAAAGGGTCAGGAATGGGAAATTATTCAGGTCAATAGTAAAAGCCTCACAACTCAACTCAATAGGCCCTTCCAGGTGGGCATCACTTGGGATTGTTAAACAGCGAGTGCAGAGGCCTCCTGGGCCAGCCTCCCCCGGGGTGGGATGAAATCAGGACGCCTGGGATCACAAGCTCCTCCCACTTCCCTCTTCGTTCTGACTCAACCTGAATCAGGCGTCAGCTGCAGAGGCCTGAAGGTGACTCTTGGGGAACTGCTTCCTGGTCACACTCACAGGCAGGAAGGCTTGGAATGTGGGAGCGAAGTTCATTCAGCAGATATGTGAGCCTTGCTCCAGTGTCCAAGGACCTGGGAACATCTCAGTAAACACAACAGGCAGAAGTATGGCTCTTCCTATCAAAACACAACCCAAGTTTGTGAAATGATGGAAATATTCTGCAGTTCCATCACTTCCAGTAGTTTTCACATTCAATCCTAGATAATAACTGTCCAAACTCAGTATCTCTCTGAAAAGGTTAAGGAGGGCTGCGTTTGGAAGGGCTTCAGGAATTACATCATCTTCATAGTGTAAGGAAAGGGCTGAGTATAGAAGACCTTTTTACGTTATATTGTATCCATGCTGTATATATACCTATATGTGTGTGTGTGTGTGTGTGTGTGTGTGTATTTGATGGTAACAGAACCACTCCCAATGTCACTAATAATCTTAAAAGGAATTAGCTAGGGGAATAATGATAAAGATGATGTTTACTTAAAAAAATCAGTAGGCTTAACCAAAATAATTCTAGAACTCACTTTTATTTACGTGTAAAACCTAAAATTGGACATTTGTCTTCGTGCTTTTCTATTATGTCTTTATATATGTAGCTGAAATGTATGAGCAAAGAGATCATCTAAATGAATTTTTATTCTACAGTTTTATAGGCAGATTTATTCTTAAAATCATCAAGACATCCCATTCAAACTCACAGCGTGTCTATTCTAGGAAACCCTCAGTGTGCTCCAGAGTGCGCGCTGCTGCTCCTAGTCACGGACGCGGCTGCCTTCAACTCCTTCTTCTTCTTCCCCTGCCACTAAGGATGGAAATCCCACTACTTGAAGGCAGCGAGTTATGCTCAGGCCTCCGAGAAAATTCCTATAAAGATCGTAAAAGTCTGCAGAAGTCAGCAGAGCACTGAGTCCCTTTTGCACTTGCCTGTCTCATTTCTAGTGAAGGAGTCCTTGTTGCTTTCAGTCTCTGGGCCTTTGGGTTATGCTGATTTTCATAGACACTTAAAATATCGAAACAGTGGGCAACACTAAATCTATTTTATGTATGCTCACTCAAGAAGGATGGCATTATAGAAAAGAAAGGACTTTTGAAAAAGAACAAGTTAATCAGGAACAACAACAACAAAAAAACGGCATAAATTATCTTGACTAACAGGTGAAGTATAGAGAAAGGCCTTTCCATAAAGAGAATGTGGCCTGGAAGCCTGTTTGCCTTGAGTGTCGTCTGTGACCTACAGGGTGGGCTGATCTCGGGGAAAGGGATGAGGATTTTAGTAGCCGCAGAATCCCTCCTTTTTCCTTCGACCTACAGTGAGTTCTCAGGATCTGCGCACATTTCATTCCACCCCTCTTTCTCTTTGCTTTAGGAACACATGGAGAAAATCAAAGAGCTGCGCACAGCAGAACACGCCTGCTTTGAGGACCCGCATAGCCCTGTGGTCTTGGGCAAGTCACTGAGCCTCAGTGTCATGATGAGAAAAGTGGATCCAATCGCATTAATGTAAACCTCAAATGAGAACATGGTCATTTACTCAGAGGGGAAGCAGAAACAAAGATGAATGCTAAGATTCCGTCCTAGTTCATTTACTGTTGCTATAACTGAATACCTGAGACTAGATAATTGATAAAATAAATTTATTCCTTACAGTTCTTGAGGCCAGGAAGTCCCAGGGCATGGCACTGGCATCTGCTCAGCTTCGGGTGAGTGTGCCATGACACAGTGGGTGGCATCGCATGGTGATACAGAGCGAGAGCTGGCTCAGGCCTCTCTTCCTCTCCTTACAAAGCCACTGGTCTCATCAGGGGCCCCACCCCAGTGCCCTGATGACTAGGTCTCTGCTCCTAGTTACATTCCAAAGGCCTCATGTCCAATTAACATAGAAATGTAGGGGTTAAACTTCCAACACATGAAATTTGGGGGACACATTCAAACCATAAAAATATGTAAAGGCAATTTATATTCAATAAGGCAATAAAGAAAAGTAAAATTCTGCAGACAACAGTTATTTCCCAATGCCTTCTGAGTCACTCTTTGTGGTTAAGATAAACACCACAGCATCCAGGCTTTGGTGCAATTTCATTTCCTCATTAGTTATTTTTTATGAGCACTGCTAGGCTTCCTGATGCTCACACAGGGTTGGACAAATAGATGATCAGAGAAACACCATATAGTGAGGCAAAGCCTGGGAAATGCTGAATGTCTATGTACGCAACAAGGCATACAAGCAAAAACAAAACTGAGATGGGGAAGGATTGTGAGAGGGGAGGAAGGGGCTCTATCTGCCACATATCTACGCAGTTGACATTTTAATTTTTTTCAGACAGGGTCTTGCTCTGTCGCCCAGGCTGGAGTGCAGTGGTGCAATCATAGCTCACTGCAGCCTCGCCCTCCTGGGACCAAGTGATCCTCTCAACTCAGCCTCCCGTGTCTGGGGCCACAGGTGCATGCCACCACACCTGGCTAATTTATTTATTTTTTGTAGAGACAAGGTCTCACATGTTGCCCAGGCTGGTCTTGAGCTCCTGGGCTCAAGTGATCCTCTAGCATAGACCCCACGAAGTGTGGGATTACAGACATGAAGCAATGAACCCAGCCTCTATGTTTTCAGTAATGAGAACAGATCCATAGATCACCCATGCAATTAAAACATCAAAGGCTTCCCTGAGTGAGCGTGCAGGTGCACGCCATCACCATGTGGCGCCATGTTGCCAACGTCTGCGTCACCTACCAAACACTTCGTTGTCCTCTGAGGTTGTCCGGGAAAGTTCACCCGGGTTTGTCTTTTTCTCAGGTTCTCCGCTGTTAGTTTCACCATTCTGGAAAAAGAAAACGCAACAAACACTTTTCTTAAGATAAACTGTTTTATCAACAAAGCAATTGTAATGCATTTGTCTCTTTATACATTTTTTATCAGACAATCGGTTTCATGCCTGTTTTCAAGATAGAATCTAGAGCCTTGGTTCACAGGAGGGTTTTCTGTGCAGGATTCTGAATTCTGAATTCTGGCTTGTTTTCTCTGCCTAAGCACCTAAGCACTTTCTGGACCCAGTTGGTTTAGTTTTATACAAAAAAATTAGAATATCAGCCTAGGTAAAATAAATTAGCTACACGCCAAGGGTGAGCCCACATAGTTACTGCTTTAGATTCTAAGTGACACTGTGCAGCAGAACTGACACCAAGCCTTACTTCTCCAGTGACACCTTTGGCTAACCGGAACCAGTCAGCACCACTTTGATGGAAGAATGAGCCCTTTTAGGGACAGAAAACGAAGCTGATGTTCGAAGGCACCTTTGTATTCCGGGGGAGGAAGCAGCTTGCTATGTAGGGGGGCCAGGCCCCCGGCCACTGCTTTGGGAATCTTCAGCTTCAGAGTTTCTTCCCTGGGCCTCCCTTAGCCTGTTGTTTGGGGCCCGAATGGCAGTGTGAGCTTGTTTCTTGAGTTTAAAGTTTTCAGTACATAATTCGATCACCAGTGCAGAGAAGATATGGTTCAGCTTCTTGATATTTTTGTAATCAATTTTACTTGACTATTTTGAAATGTCACACTTGCACACTGAATGATTCAAACGCTCTGGAAAGTGCACAGCGGCTGTGCGCTGAAACCTCAGGGTCTCCTGCATGCCCTCTCCTCCTCTGGGAGGCAGCCGGCATTCCCAGCTTCTTCCAGACTTTGCACAATCATCTGGGCACATTCAGACAATGACACGTGTATTCTTTTCCCTCCTTTCTGTCTTCACGTAAATGGCATCACACTGTGGATGATACGCTCCTTCCTGCTTTTGCCAGGGAAAGAGGGATCCTGGAGGTGACGTCATGACAGCAGGCACAGAGCTGCCTGCATAGCCCGCTGGCATTTCAGTTACTGTTCACACCTCGCCAGGCTCCACGACCACCAGCCAGCTTGTTCACATTTGTGTTTTTCAATCCTAACCGTGTTGCACTAATTCCTGTTCACTTCTCAGAATGCACACGGGCAAGGAGCATTTCTGGAGGAGGAATGAGTCACACTGGAGCCTTTCACTGAGTGGGCGTCAGTGCTGTGGGCAGCCGCACTGGTCCTGGTGCCACCCACCAGCAGCACCGGGAGGCTGCTTCTCTCGGGTGCCGCTCCCTGCAGCACCCCACCCTGGTCTCTGCACTTAACTTTGTACCAATTTTCCACCCAATCTCTCATTTCCTAGGAGCTTTTAACCCAGGACCATAAGATGTGCAGAGTCTCAATTTTACATTCTTTTCTTTCTGGAGAGAGGGGCAGGCACAGCCATTAAGACCACCCTGAAGTCTGATTCAGACCTAGTGTGACTCACTTATGTACTGCAGGCTGTTTGTTCCTGGAGAGAGGTCCAGCCCTCTGAGCTCACACCAGCCAGGGCCCCACACTCCGCCTCCTGGTCACTAAGAGCCCTCTCTGGAAACCTTCTGTCCCGTGTGTGTGTGTGTGTGAGAGTGTGTGTGTGTGAGAGTGTGTGTGTGCGCATGTGTGTGTGTGTATCCATTCCCATCCCTGGGCAGACAGGAGGGGATGGGTGGGCGAGGTCCCCACCAACCAATGTCCACGGCACTGTTTCTACAATGCAGTGCTCTCTAGTGTGATTAACAGATAAAAAACACATGGGTTATTGGACTCACAAAATTGAGGAGGGAAGAATTTGCCTTCACGTTGTGAAATCAAATTGGTAAGAGGACACTGGTTTGGACTGAGCTCCTGCACTGGGACCAGCAGACGTTCCCAATGTGAAGTGTGGTACCAAGCCCAAATGAAGATCTTTATTTGACCCTCTGAGAAATCAGGAGAGGTAACAGCCCAATTTCCAAGCAGGCCAGGTTTAGCCCAGATGATGAGGAAGTCCTGTCTGCTTTAACCTTTATAGGGAAGTCATCTTGGAACCACCCACACATCCGCCTGCATTTTGTTTTCTGTGTCTGCTTTCTTCAGTCTCTGTTTATAAACCAACCTCCTCTGCTCGGCTCATCGGAGCACTCATTCTGTTTTGTAGAAAGAGGTGTTGCCTGATTCTAGAATGACAATTCTAGAATGATTCTAGACAGCCAATTAAGGTGTTTACGTTTGTTGTAACTTTGTGTGCACCTGCCAGGCTTCTGTTGCTGGTTGGCTGGTGTAGAAACCAAGCTGCTGCTTTCCAGATGGCGAGTCCCAGAGTCCCACGAGACAGTTACTAATAAGCAATGAAATGCAGATAATGTTCAAACTCACTAGTAATCAAAGAAATACAGAGCAAAACAAAAATGAGATTTCTTTTTAACACAACCAAGTAGAACAAAAACTGATTTCTGGCATTGCTAGAGATGTAGTGGGACAGAAACTTTCCCGGGACTGGAATAAACACTCTCAGCCTCTACAGGACAAACAGCAGCAGCCACCACCACAGAGCTGAGCCTTGGGGGCCTCACCTCGGGGCCTCTGACCTCACCCCCATGGCTTCCAGGCTCCCAGCAGCCTGGGACCTTCTGCGGATTTTCATGTGTCTCTATTACAGAAACTCAGAACAGCCCACTGTTTTATTCACCTCCCTGTGACGCGGTGAACTCTTTGAGAACAAGAACCATGCCTTACACACCTTCCTATCCCTCATGCCTGGCACAGTGCCTGGCACCCGGCGAGAGCTTTTTAAACATAGTTAAAATGGATTGTCTCTCTTTCAGCAGAGGGAGTCAAAGACAGCTGACTATGTACACTTTTCATATCTATCCAGTCAATTTTAGAAGACAGTAAAACCTGGAAAATAAATAATTTCCCGATAGTCCTTCCTCAGCTATGAATTCATGTCATATTTTTTTTTACATCTAGCTTCTATGCTAGTAGCAGATCATATTCTTCACTAATTACAAAATAATAAGTGTTATTTAAGAACTAATTAATTAAGTACGATTCAGCTACCATCGTTACACATCATAGATGCATTTTCTTCATGTTTAATGTCTCTCCGAGCGGGACACGGCGAGGACCAGTAGTGTCTTCCCGTTGGCGTGGGCAGCCCTTCTCACTGGAGAGTAGAACAGTGCCGCATATTAGAAATGAGGCATTTCAGATGCAGAGTGAAAGCTGGTATTTACATCACATCACTTTGCTTTAAGTGCGTGGAGGGGGTAACCTAGCAGTAGCCACTTCTCTGTATCCACTTCCCAGGCTGGTTTCAAGGCTGTGGGCAGCAAAAGAGTGAAGAGGAAGTTTGTGTCCTGTGCGCCAGCCTGTGCCCACGTCGGTCCCACCGCGATGGTGCGTCCACTGTATTTATCCCTCACACCAAAGTGGCCACAGGTAGACCCTGAATAGTGATGGCAGACAGGACTCCAAAGCTGCCGTTTTCTCCACCTTCTCAACTCAACTCTCTGATAGTTCAACATCTCTAGATCATACAGGGACACAGCACGTGTGCAGAAAGTACACACTGGCCTGGGAAATTTCATGACTAATTTCTACTCAAATATAAGGCTTGTTTTTGACACCCGATATTGCTATTCCAAAAATATAAAATATTCCCCTACGATGAACACATTTCCTGTAAGCAAAATGTCTTCTAGCAGAACGAATAATGGAGATGATGTGTCAAAAGTGATGTGATTTTCGTGATGATAAAACAAGAGCTTCCTGCAGACGGGGCTCAGACTTACAAGAGGGGATGGGTCCTGGCGGCTCAGGCCCCCCTGCGTCATTGCCCAAAAGAGTTCAAGTCTGGGTCCAAATGGAACCTGTGACTGCAGGTGTCGACATGCATTTCAAGCAAGGATGGCTGCTTCATACTATTTGTAGCAATTTTCTTTTTCATCAGCCTAAATATGTGGGCGCTGACCTGTGTAAGAATCTATTTCTTATCCATAACAATTTTAGAAGGTGTGTGGGAATTTGCTGCAGAAGCCCCAGGAAGCGAATACACTCCCCTACATGGTAAGGAGCACGAACAGCTCGGGACGTTAACACGCATGGTGAAAGACGACAGAGAAAAAAGTGTATCTTTTTTTGGAACAAACGAAATGATAGTCTCCTAATCTATTATACGCCAGTAATTAGTCTCATTTTCTCTGTGTGTAAAAACACAAAAACAAAAAACCTCTACCCAGCCTTGACCTCTAACCCTTAAGTGATGAGTTTTCCCTGGGGTCAGCGTGGCCCGGCACGGGGCTCTGGAGCAGGTGACCGGAGGGGCCCTGGGAACTCAGAGGTCCACCCTCTCCTGCCACCCAGAAGCGCACTTCAGTTTTCTTCATCAGAACCAGGTGGAGAAGCAAAGGATAGCATGGAGTCAAACTTCCCAAAGCAGTCACAGCCAGGACGTCGAGGGGTGGAATCCTGGTTGGTTTTGAGGACCCCACTCAGCTGCTTTTTTCTGCGTAGCCAGAGCATCCAGTCAAGTCTGAGAGATCTCCTACTAGGTACAGCTACTCACGTACGTGCACACACGGCACACACATGCACACACACACACACGTTGTAGGTGAAAATACACTTATAATTAGCCTTACATTTTTACAAGATTGATGGTCTGGAGGTGGCAATTTCAGGAGGAATGGCCCAGAGGGTAAGTTTCTAATCACCACAAAAAAGGCTGAGAGAGAAGAAAACACTTGCTTGATATTGCTACAAACATTATACAGCGTATTCTCAAAGTCCTGATTCAGACTAGAAACTGCTTATCACGAGAGGAAGGTGTTGAAACATGTTACAAAGTGACTCTCACCTGCAAAACCAGTTGTATGTTAGACTCGGAGTCATGATCCACCACAGGCTGCTTTATTCAACACAGCTAAGAACTGATTTTGAGAATTTTTCATTCCCTTAAAAAATACTGTATTTGGC